TTAAGAAAAAACAGAAGTAAAGAAAATGAACAAATAAAAGAACCAGCAAGCAAAAGGAAACCAGATTGAAGTTACAACCAGTTTCCCCTGGGAACTGAAACTTTGAAGTACACTAGTCTGTAGACTAAGCAGGTGGGAGGAATTTGTGTTGGTCTTCTGGGGCATGTGCCTGGAGGGCCCAGGTGAGTGGGACTTGATGTAATGGCTCCATTCTCCACTTGGTGGCACTGATTAACTTACTGGGGTGGATCCCAGTGTGCAAGGGTGCATGCTCCCGCATGTGCCAGAGGTGAAAATGGCTTCAACTAGCTCCTTAGTTTCTGGCACAGGAACTTTACACTCTCACTGACCCATGATCAAGCACTCTTCTTTGTCTCAGGTCTCTATCCACTCTGTGCCTCTACTTTGTCCATGTCCAAGCTGTCTACCTGCCAGATGGTGCCTCCCTCCAGAGTTTTATAAGTCCCACACTTCAGAGACCCATGCCAATTCTCTGGGGGTAGGTGTTGCAGAGCAATGGCCAGGAGCCAGCTTGTCCCAGAAAACATTCCAGCAATCATGCAGCAGCAGAGGCTCAGAGTTTATGGCAAATCAATAGACAGCTGGTGCCAGGTTTTGCCACACTCGGGCATCTTTGTCCCAATACCAGCAAACATGGCTGCTCTCCAGGGTCCACCAGGACCTTTGGCCACAGGGAGTCCATATGTTCTCTATCAATTGTTCCCCTACTTCAAACAGAAGAACAGCTTCTCCCCATGTGGCACAAAGACCCCTCAGACTGCATTGCCTGCTCCTGGGGATTCACTCTACTTCCTTACCAGAGCACTCCCAGGAACTGAGCTCTAGAACTTCAAACTCTGCATTCCAATGTTTATAGAATCCTGATGGTATTGAAACCCTCTCTGTTCTCCCCGGTTTTGGAGTTTTGGAGAAGAGATTTCTTGCCCAGTCCCCTGCAAATGTTTTCATTCTTTCTCCCTCTCTTTCTCTCCAGGTACTTTCGGGGGTAGGGGATGCTTTTCTTGCACAAACTCTATGTGCTCCAATCTCCCCTTTTCTATTTCTATTTCTGTCCTCTCTTTGTGAAAACAGCTCCCTACCCTCCACGGCTCTGCAGCTTTTTTCTCCCCTAATCCACCTCTCCATGCTACGCACCCGCTAAGTTCTGTGGCTCAAATGATGCAGATTTTTGCATAATCCTCAGGTCAGTCTCTTAGGTGTTCAAAATGGTTTGATGCTGATCTAGTCTGTGTTTCAGGGACAAGACAAGCTCAGGGTCTTCATATTGCTCTGCCCTCTTCTATAACCACTTAAATCTGAATAAACTCTATGAATTGTACCAATGCCCATTTCTTGGTCTTGATATTATTAAAGCATAGTTGTATAACACATTAATATTGAGGGAGGCTGGGGAAGTATGGATAGGACTTCTCTACATTTCTTTGCAATGCCCTGTGACTCTGTAATTATTTCAAAACAACAACAAAAAAGGGTTTTGGTAGATAATGTAGCTGGTACATTATACTATGGAGCAGCAGAACAGTGACACCTTATTATGAGGGGCAGCAGTTCACCTGACTGACTTATAAAGGGTGCCCTCAATGAGCCTATCACTGAGCTAATGTATCTAGTTTCTTCTCACAAGTTTACTTTTTGCTCTGCCAGGGTAGAAGCCATGTTGAATTGGCTTCTTTACAGGACTTTTATTACATCAACATAGCCGTTTGGAGGAAGGGAAAAGCTTTTTCTGAATGGCTATTAATAACATCCATTAATTAAAGATTAACAAATATTTACAATTACGTAATTTTGAAAGGTTGTACAATTATACAAAAAAATACATTCTAGAATAACAGAGAAATCTTCTCAAAAATAAATTTGCATTAAACTGTATTTTTTAATTACTAATGACTGTAACTGATTAAAGTACATTGATTAAACCCATAAGTTTAAAATGATACTCAGAAAATGGGAGACAGACAAAAAATAAGTTCAGTGGACACTACTGAAAGTTGCCAAGGCAACAACTCATTATTATAAAAATTGAAAATTAAAGAAAAATAATTTATCTTGTGTTTCTGGCATTAAGTGTGTTTCACATTAATGAAATTGGGTGGGAGAAGCTCTTCAGTACAGACTGAGTGATTTATAAATGCAGATAGAATGACATAATTAGAAAATTCATTACAAATGCATCAATGGTTCCTGGTGGATATTAAAACCATTAGGAGCAAAGGTCACAGGAAACTTAATAAACACTGGGCCAGGCTGCCACCACCTAAACTCACTAAGCAATCTCAGCATCCCTGAAAAGGGGACATCTAGACATCACACTCCTCCTTGGTGCAAGTCAAACTCCTAGAACACTTGTGAAGTATAAGGCCCCCAAAATAAAACCTGAAGGCTTCAGATATAAATTTTAGCCCATAGGAAATAAAAGGAATAGAATAAGAATCCCATGAGGAGTCCATTAGCCCAATCCAGGATGCAGGACATTCTACAGAATCACAGAAAAGGATTTTTCAACTAGATGGTGGTACAATAAAGACAACCTGGCAGGCCTGAGGTTGCCATCGTTAGGAGGGCCTTTAAAAGAGCTTGATCCAGTGCTGGCCTTTGGCTGACATCTGGTTACTTGGCTTTTGGAATGTTCCTTATGATATAGAGTGATAAGGCTGTTATGTAGGCTCAGAGCATTGCATTCTGTTATACTAGCATGTATAAACTATTTGCATAAAAATGTAATTTCTTTCTGGGAGGTTAGGACTTTGGTGGGCTCAGGGTGCCTACGTGACAAGCCCTCATCAAAACCCTTGGGCTCTGAGTCTCAAACAGGCTGCCTTGAGCATAAACACCACTACTGGAAGAAGAAGCATGTTCTATATAGCCTCTTCTGGGAAAGGAGACCTTTCAGAATCCTGCTCCTAGGCTCAACTACACTTCATGATGAGGCTTTTTCCACTGCTGGTCATGATAATAACTGCTGGTCATGATAATAAACAAACCACAGCCCAGACAGGGCAGAGCTGCCTCTGAGACTGAGTCCTTCTAGAAAATCACAGTGTTTAGGTGACCAAGGGAATCCTGAAACATGATAATATTGATTGATATAACAACTAATGAGTGGACCTTGTTGGACAATTTGGGGCTCAACTTACTGGAGCCAACATTCCTCACCAGGCACACTAGACAACCACAGACAAACTCCAGGAACGTTTCTTGGTCATTTCTCCTGAAAGTCGTTTTCTTTTTTTATTTTTCTTTTAATTTTTAAAATGTCTTATGTATTTTTTTTTTGAGAGAGAGAGACAGACAACGTGAGCAGGAGAGGGTCAGATAGAGAGGGAGACACAGAAGCAGAAGCAGGCTCCAGGCTCTGAGCTGGCTGTCAGCACAGAGTCTGACGCGGGGCTTGAACCCACGAACGGGTGAGATCATTACCTGAGCCAAAGTCAGACACTTAACCAACTGAGCCACCCAGGTGCCCGCAAAGGTCATTTTCTTGACAACTCCAAGGCATTTCTCATACCTATCCTACACTCGAGAAATACTTCTTTAGAATCACATCCTCTACTGATCTTCTAGGCTCAACCTACTGGAGCCGAGATTCTCATCAATGTGTTGCAGTAAATGTGGTTTCACAATTAAATTAACCAGCCAGCCCAGGCAGTGTCTGCACTTTTCCTCATGCTATTAAAGGTAGAGCCACACTTAGTTTCCCAAAAACATGGAATTTATAAGACATAAGATCATTTGTAAGAAGACTCATTAGCTGAACTGATAAGCATAACAGATAATAATCCTTCCTCCCACATAGGCCAAAGCCACTCAAGTCTCTATAACATTCATATTCCAATGATGCAAATAGGGGACAGTTTAATGTACATCTCAGAGAGCTTTCATACTTGCCCCTTCAGGATCACATTTCAAGTGAGCAGCAGGATAAGGGTGAGAAAATCATGTACATATTCAGTTTTCTTAGGTAAACTTTTGCTGGGGCCTTCTAAAGCCCATCTTGCATGTATCTGTTGCCAACATTCAGCAGATATTCCAGTACAGATCAATTTTCTGTGTAGAATGGTGGAAATCTTCCTTTTTAGAAAAGATGCCATTGCAGTTTAATTAGGAAGAAGGACTGAGGGAGGGGCGGGCATCTAGGTGACTCAGCCAGCTAAATGTCTCCTGATTTCAGTTCAGGTCATGATCTCATGGTTCGTGAGTTCGAGCCCTGAGTTGGGCTCCACTCTGACAGTGTGGAGCCTATTTGGAATTCTCTCTCCCCCTCTCTCTCTGCTCTTTGCTCGCTCACTCTCACTCTCTCTCTCAAAATAAATAAACAAACTTTTAAAAATCAGCATAACTGAATGAAATAAGTCAGGCAGAGAAGGACAAATATCATATGTTTGCACGTATAGGAGGATTAGGAGGAACTTAACGGAAGACCATGGGGGAGAAGAGGGGAAATAGTGAGGGAAAGGGGGAGAGGCAAACCATGAGAGACTCTTGATTGCCGACAAAAACTGAGGACTGATGGATGTGGAGGGGTGGGGGGGAATGGGCACCGAGAGGGGCACTTGTGGGGATGAGCACTGGGTGTTATATGGAAACCAACTTGACAATAAACTATTTGTAAAAATAATAATAATAAATAAAAGTCAGCATAACTGAGGGTTACCTGGGTAGCTCAGTGAGTTAAATATTTGACTCTTGATTTCAGCTCAGATCATGATCTAATGGTTTGTGAGACTAAGCCCAATGTCAGACTCTATCTATGCTAATAGCACAGAGTCTGCTTGGGATTCTCTCTCTCTCTGTCTCTCTGTCTCTTTCTCTTTCTCTCTCTTTTTGTCTCTCTCTCCCTCCCCTGCTCATGCTCTCTCTCAAAATAAATAAACTTAAAAAAAAAAAAGCAGAACTGAGCCCATCCAAGAGCACCCACATGTTGAAAGACACTTGCTTGTGAGCACAGATAAATCTAAGAGAGCTGACATGAAAGTTACCTCAAATATAATCAGCATGTAGACCCCAGCAAGGATGACCACAGCAATGATCACCTGTGCTTCTATGCTTGCACGGAGGTACTGATGAGCCATCATAAGAGGAACAGCCTGGGTCTGCTGGAGGGAGGTTCGAATGCTGATAGAAACAGTATCTCTGTAGAATGAAGCAAAGATATTACCACTGGTAAGGGAAACCAGAACCTATGTCAACAATTAGTGCTTGCTTCCTTGGCGTCCTTCCCAACACAAGTTATCCATGGCCATAACGAGAGCCCAAACTGATCTCAGAGTGATTTAGCCTAATGCCTGACCTGGCAGACAAGGAGCTCTGAGGGCATATATGAGTAGTGTGAGATGCAGACACAGCTTCCCTGTGGTCAGATCCATCTAATGTAGGCACATCAGTTCCCATCTGGCAGTCTCTGCCTCAGGTGCCACTCCAACAATTAACAAGGAGCAGAGACTTTCACATTGGTTCTAGCCACTTAATTTTCTCTTTCTCTTCATCACACACGGACTGCTTTACCTGCTAACAAATAGCAAAGTCAACCATTCTCACATGTGAGTGATTTGTAAAAGGGCCACATGTAACCTGAGAACATATAGACAGTTTGTCAGATGATGGGGGAAAGTACCTGGAACAAGAAGCATCCATATAATTAACATTATGTGGCATGGTGAAATTAAACCATTTTTCTAAAAGTTTGATCAGTAACTGTTGTGAGCCAAACTGTATCCTCCCAAAATACAGACATTGATATCATAACCCTCAATGCTTCAGAACGTGACTATATTTGGAGACAGTCTTTATAGGGGGGATTAAGTTAAAATGAGGTCATTAGTGTGGTCCCTAATCCAGTATGACTGGTTTCCTTATAAGAAAGGATTGGGATGGTCACACACACAGAAAAGACCATGTAAAAAACACTGGGAGTAGAAGGCATCCACAAGCCAAGGAGAGAGGCCTCTGAAAAGACAAACTCTGCTGAAAGCTTGAGGAAATAAATTTCTAATTTTTAAGTTATGCAGTCTGTGGTATTTGTTATGACAAGCCCAGCAAACTCCAACAGACATAAAATGGAATGGATTTAAAGAAAAAGAAAGAATCCTAGGGGCGCCTGGGTGGCTTAGTCGGTTAAGCGTCCGACTTTCGCTTAGGTCATGATCTCGCGGTTCATGGGTTCGAGCCCCGCATCGGGCTCTGTGCTGGCTGCCAGCTCAGAGCCTGGAGCCTGTTTCAGAGTCTGTGTCTCCCTCTCTTTCTGACCCTCCCCTGCTCACGCTGTCTCTCTCTCTCCTAGAAATAAATAAAAATATTAAAATAAATAAATAAATAAATAAATAAATGATTCTTTCTAGTGGTTGGAAAATGCATTGAATTCTCTAGAAAGCAAGAGACCTCATCATATCTGCATGTGCATATACATATATCTCACCTGGGACCTTGTACCTATAAGCCCCTCATAAGNGCGCCTGGGTGGCTTAGTCGGTTAAGCGTCCGACTTTCGCTTAGGTCATGATCTCGCGGTTCATGGGTTCGAGCCCCGCATCGGGCTCTGTGCTGGCTGCCAGCTCAGAGCCTGGAGCCTGTTTCAGAGTCTGTGTCTCCCTCTCTCTCTGACCCTTCCCTGCTCATGCTGTCTCTCTCTCTCTCTCTCTCCTAGAAATAAATTTAAAAAATATTAAAAAGAAAGAAAGAAAGAAAGAATCCTAAAATTTCCTGGAATTCCCCATTCTAGAGCTTCATAATATTTTTTAAAAATTTTTGATGTTTTTATTATTGAGACAGAGAGAAACAGAGCATGTGTGGGGGAGGGGCAGAGAGAGAGGAAGACACAGAATCTGAAACAGGCTCCAGGCTCTGAGCTGTCAGCACAGAGCCCAATGTGGGGCTCAACCCCATGAACCACGAGATCATGACCTGAGCCTAAGTCGGATGCTTACTAACTGAGCCACCCAGGCGCCCCCATAATATTAATGAAACTAAAGCATCAACTATAAAATACCATTTGCTTCAAAATGTACCCGAAAATCAATCCTCATTTCCTGACACTTGTGGTTATAATGCCCTCCTATATTCCTCATGTCCACAGCCTCCCCGGTTAGAGCATCCATTCCCAGTCACATAACTGATCTGGCTATTTGTGCCAAAAATTGAAGTCCCGCAGGTCAAAATTTTTAAGTGAGCATGTCTCAGAAGACCTTCCCCTAAGATCTTTGATCACCTGACACCCACCTGCTCAGTATCTCAAAGATCCTGCTCACCACCAAGCGCTCACTTCTCCTCGGATTTAAAAATACGGTCCAATTCTGAGTGACCTATAAAAATTGAAATGTAATATCACAGTAAAGCTTTGAACCATCACCTAGGATTCACTGCTATTCAGTGGAGGTGTTTGTTTAGAATAAGGAGAAAAAGAGGAATAGCAAAGACTTTTTACACAATTCCCACATCTCTGACACTAGAGCATATTCAAGTTGTATGGAACTGGAAATTTCTACAACATGAAGGGCTTTAAGAAAAGAAAATATAGAAGTACATATACACAATTAGTATATAAGATACGAAGGTACAGATGTCAATATGATTTATTATGAGAAAAAGAAATCACTGCACTTTATGGGAGACTTGGAATCTTCTGAAACCTCTGAGGCAACTCATGCAAAATGCTTAATTACAACTGCTTCCTACTTGCAAACTAAAGGCAGAAAAGTCTCAACACCCATGTCACAGGAGTCCATGAGAATCAGGATCCAAGGATGAGGCTTCCTTTGCTGTGGATTACCCTACATGTTCCTGTCCCAAGCAGAATAGTGGAGAAAACAGCTGAGGGGACCAGATATGAGCAGAAAGTGGGAGCTGGCTGAGGCAGCTGAGGGACTAGGGAAACTTTAATGGGAGGACAGGAGCCTTGCTGCCCACAAATCATAAAGTAAATGAAAATAGGAACTCTGAAATTAGTCAAAGCATGAATGAGAGTTCATAAGTTCTCTTAAAACACTTCAGTATTTGGAAAGAGTATATCAGAAAAAGCCCAGTAGTAAAAGACTTTTGTGTTCCTCATGTTTCTGAGCTGGATTTTTGTGTGGGCACTGGAGCAAAGAAGCTCACTAAAGCCCTATGGGAAGACAGCTATGTCAGCAGGCTGCAAAGGGTCACATATTCTTCCACAGAAGACTCACAGACAGAGCAGACAGATGTGTTCCCACCCCATCTTTACTGAGAAGCCCTTGTCAGCAGGCTGTGTACTGCACAAAAGGAGGCCACGTTTACATCCTAAGACCATGACCAAGGCAACCCCTTTAGAACACTGGTGCTTCATAGACCATCATTCATGAAATGGCAGCTTCATTCATAATGAGGCCTTTACTCTGTGGACCCTGGAAAATAAAAGGGTGTGGTATCCATCAGATGCTCCGTTTTGGATGACACAGCATTGTGCATGAGCAGGGTTTCCTTCTGTTGATTATAATAGGGAAAATCCATGAACTTCATACCCAAGTCACCATGAGAATTCCAGGGAGTCATCAGGACTTGGGGTATGGGTCAAGATGCACAGAGGGGTCAGGCCTTGTCTGGGTTATGGGCCATGGTGACAACACCACTGCTGGCCTTTCTTGTCTTCGAAGGATGTAAGCTAAAGACAGTCTAAGACACACTAAGTACAAGAGCCTATCAGTTTAGAAGCAGAAGGTTTAGGAAATTAAGCAAGTCTTAACCACTTGGTTAAGTGCCCACAAACCCAAAGGAACTGTGGTGTATCTTCTATACTATGAGGTAAGGCCCAAGTTTCATTGTGATTTAACAGAAAACTACTTTCAAATATATAATATCTCCCGAAATTGCCCAGTAAAGTCATCTGAATAAAAAATATCATATGTTTGCACGTATAGGAGGATTAGGAGGAACTTGATGGAGGAATAAGGGGGAGAAAAAGGGCAGAAATGGTGGGGGAAAGGGAGAGAGGCAAACCATGAGAGACTCTTGAATGCTGACAAAAACTGAGGACTGATGGATGAGGGGGGGAAGGGGGATGGGCATGGAGGAGGACACTTGTGGGGATGAGCACTGAGTGTTATGTGGAAACTAATTTGACAATAAACTATTTGAAAAAAAAAAAAAAAACAAAACCTCACAAGCCTGATTTACTGAAATTACAAGAGTTTTATAATTGTCTTAGACAAAAGGAGGAAAGAAAATTTTGAAGACAAAGCAAAAAACAGGGTTTGCCTAAGAATGGTGTCATTGTCTTATGGCTTCCCATCAAATCCATTCAAAAGGAAATCAATTTAAGAAGAGATGGAGTGAGTTTCTACAATTCCTTTTAAGTAAATTTTAAGTGTAACCTGCTGTGGCCGCCGCCGTCTGGAGCCTGAAACATCGGTCTGGGTCACCTCCACCACGACATGTTCTTCTCTCCCAGTACGACTTGGGCCACTGGCCACCAGGGCCCCTGCCAAGTCCACCTGGAGCAGTGTGGAATCCGCATGGCTGGTAAGGTTGGAAGCTGAGTCAAAGTCAAGGTGAACCACAAAGCAAGGGAGAGAGGCCTAAAGTGCCCCCACCCACCCACTCAGTGAGCACCGTCCTTAGAAGGTGCATACAGAAATGCATATTCAGGCCATTTCCTCCAACTGTACTGCAGCCATTGACTACTCCTTATCTCTTCAGCACCTCACTACTGATATATGTATTGGTTTTGCAACATTTGATTGTGTGTGTTTCAAATCCTCTGGTTTAACCTCTAAGTGGTGGTGTCTCCCCATCCTACCATTATCTCTGCTTCTACTTTTGCAGCCAACATAAAACTTCTGCCCAAGTTCCTGGACCCACAGTGAGCTAGTAGACAGGATGGCTGCATGACTGAACAGATACACTGATGCCCAAATCCTCAGGTGCCAGGTCTCTATTTGTAGAATGAGAAATCACAAAGAGAACCTGAAAATAAGAATTCTGAAGTCAGCTAAATAAGTGACAGGAGAGAAATTACCTCAAAGTGTGTGAAGGCTCTTGGTCAGGGAAGAATTATCAGAAAAAGAGGTTTTGGGGCACCTGGGTGGCTCAGTCAGGTAAGCATCCGACTTTGGCTCAGGTCATGATCTCACAGTTTGTGAGTTTGAACCCCGCACAGGGCTCTGTGCTGACAGCTCGGAGCCTGGAGCCTGCTTCAGATTCTGTATCTCCCTCTCTCTCTCTCTGACTCTCCCCTGCTCACACAGTCTCTCTCTCTCTCAGAAATAAATAAAACATTAAAAAATTAAAAAAAGAAAGAGAGGCTTTTCCCATTGGCATAACATGGGGAACATGTTATAACAAAATGTAATTCCCATGGTACTTACTCCTCACTGCAGGCTTGCCCCTTAGCACTTATGTCCTGTATTTGGGTATTGCACAAACACAGGAGCCTGTGCTACTCAGCCCTTCTCTCCCTGCTCTGAGCCAACTCTTGCCTCTGCTACAAGGTCTTTGGGGACATGGCATGGATTCTACAAAGAGACTGGGCCAGTTATTTTGATCCAGAAAAGAAAATTGCTGTAGGTGGAAAAATGTAACATATATTTTGTATAAGGTCTCAAAAATCTTAGCAGCCACTCACTGGTTGTAGGAGGATTCAGAAGACAATTCCTTTACTCTTCCTTAAAACCTTAAAAGAAACAGGTGGCTTATGGAACAGACTTAGGGAAAAGGCAGAACTTTACTGTTGCCACAGTGTAAATAAGATTTGCATTGAGTGTTGAGTGCCAGTGAATGGTTAATCCTTTTTCATTATCTATTTCCTCCAGCAAAATATACTAGTTTAGAAAAATTATTATACAAACATTTCCTGGTAAGCAAAGTGCTTTATCTGCACTATTGTCTATAAGAGAGCCCAAAATGTGCAGCTGTCCCCAACACTTGGCTGAAAAGCCTCTCCACATACCTATACTGCTACTTGGGTTCCATCAAGGACAAATGGAAAACATGTCACACATGACACAGGATATACCAAGAAAAGGTCCAAAGAGACACTGCTGCTTCTGCCACACCAAAATTACTCCTGTCCTTGTATTTCAGTTCAGAAAGGATTCTAGAGCCCTTGCAGAAACCCAGGAGATGGAACAGCACCACCTAGAGGCTAATATTGGAAATGCAGTAGCTTCTCCCTCATTTAATGAATGTTTGTGGAGCATCTATTGCGTACTAAGAAATAAATGAACAAAAACCTGGGGGTGGAGGGGCATCTCATGACCTCTTGGGAGACAACCATATAACACCCACAACCATGTGATTAACTAACTATATGGAGTGCACACAAAATCACATAGACACAGTACAACATGTACTTCCACCCTTCCTTTTCTCTTTCTACATGCCGACCATGCACTTAGGATTCAATGCCCACTGAGATGCTCTGGTGTCAACTGTGACTTCCAGACCCCAGAAAACAGGAGCCTCTAATCGAGCCTCACCCCTGCAGGCAGCTTTGATCCTTGCCTTGCAGCCATGTTGAACCATCTGCCATTCTCCTAACACATAGTATCCTGCCTTTGCTTCAAATGCCTTTTCCAAATCTGAAGAACTTCTACCATCTTTTGAGATCTCACTCAAGCTCTTATCTTCTAAAATCTTTGCTTGTAATCTATGACTCCAGTGGATCTTTTGTATATTGGACTCATACCATAATGCAGTTTGTTTTAGATTTCTCTCCCCAACTGGTCTCACCCCTCAAGAGAAGTAACTGCATCTTATTCATTTCTCTGCTTCTCTGGAGACTAATTTAGTTCTCACCACATTAGATGCCCCAACAAGTATATTTATTTTACTAATAAACATTAGTTTATTAAAATAAACATTTACTGATGTTTATTAGTAAAATAAATATCTGTTTATAGCCTCATCCTTGAACTCCTCCATACCTAGGCCAGAGTCCCTGCCAGGTGGGGCATGGAGAAGTTAGAGAGAAATTGCATCCTTCCTCTGACTGCATCTAAAAATCTCCTGCCTTTCCCATTACCCAAATCAAAGCCATTTTTCAAGACCTAACTTGACATGCTTTCCATGAAGCTTCTTCCCACTCTGTGAGCCTCCCCCCGCGCCAATACCTTCCTCCACTAAGTTCCTGGTTAATAATCTTCTTCTTGTTCCTCTGAGTGTGGCCATTGACTATGCTCTGGTTGTCACAGTGTGGGCAGCTGTCTTAGATACCTATGTGTGGTGGGGGGAAAGACACATGAACAAAGCATTTCTAAACAACAGGCAATGTGCTGTTGCTGGGCATGGAACAAATCCACAACAGCCTGAAGGGAGGCCTTAATTTCTGCCTAAACTATAGAGTCCTCTTGGGCTTATCCTTAAATTTGCTATAGAACCTGTCAAATACCAGGATCAGTTGACACTGGCCAGGACTTCCTCCTCTACCAAGTCAGGCTCCGCTGAGCCCTCTTCTTGATTAGTCCTCAACCTTGGCCTGGTGAGCCCATTTTACTGAGAATCCCTTCACTCCTGATATCCAACCAAGTTCCCGTTGGTAATTTTCCATCCTCACCCTCACCCTACTGTAGATTCCTAGCTTCCCCTGTTGTTTTTGGAGTTGAGTTCAATCTCTCCTCCATTGCCAATAGTCTTAAATAAAGTCTTCCTTACTGTTTACCTTATGCAATTTTTCTTTGACACAGCTTTTGCTTAGTTGAACTGAGGTAAGAAAGTGGGGCCCCTTTGGACACATCTTCATGATAAAAATGGGAGCAGTGTCATTTGATAAAGTATGAAACTTTTAAGATTGATTAATTCATTAAAAATAAATCTATCCATGCACGTATAGGAGGATTAGGAGGAACTTAACGGAGGATCATGGGAGAGAAGAAGGGGGGAAATAGTGGGGGAGAGGGAGAGAGGCAAACCATGAAAGACTCTTGAATACAGAGAACAAACTGAGGACTGATGGGTGTGGGGGGAGGAGAGGGGAGATGTGCCTGGAGGAGGGCACTTGTGGGGATGAGCACTGGGTGTTATATGGAAACCAACTTGACAATAAACTATTTGTAAAAAATGAAAAAAAATAAAATAAAATTCTATTGAATTGAAAAAAAAAATAAATAAATCTATCCAGGGGTGCCTGGGTGGCTCAGTCAGTTAGGCATTCAACTTCAGCTCAGGTCATGATCTTGCAGTTTGTGGGTTTGAGCCCTGCATCAAGCTTTGTGCTGACAGCTTAGAGCCTGGAGCCTGCTTTGGATTCTGTGTCTCCCTCCTTCTCTGCTCCCACTCATGCTCTGTCTCTGTCTCTCTCAAAAATGAATAAACATTTAAAATTTTTTTAATTTAGGGGGCGCCTGGGTGGCTTAGTCGGTTAAGCATCCGACTTTCGCTTAGGTCATGATCTCGCGGTTCGTGGGTTCGAGCCCCACGTCGGGCTCTGTGCTGGCTGCCAGCTCGGAGCCTGGAGCCTGTTTCAGAGTCTGTGACTCCCTCTCTCTCTGACCCTCCCCTGCTCACGCTGTCTCTCTCTCTCTCTTAGAAACGAATAAAACATTTAAAAAAAAAGAAAAAAAGAGAAAACTTTGCCTATTACAGATTTCCTTTCTTAAAAAAATAAATAAATAAAATTTTTAATTTAAAAATAAACCTATCTAGTGCCAATGTATTTTCTCCAGCATTTGGGACCAAATGGATGAATGATTGCTCTTAATTTCTAGAGTGGTACTGACCAATCAAGTTCTATATGGTGATAGAAATGTTTTATATCAATGCTGTCTCATATGCTAGCCATGAATCACATTTGACTATTATGCACTTGGAATGTGGCTGGTGTGAATGAGGTAGTAAAACTTTAATGTTATTTCCTTCACTAACATAAATTTAAATTTAAAGAGGCACTAGTGGCTAGTGGATACTATATTGGACAACATAATCATGATAAGTATAAGGAGTTTAGGATATAAGAGAGTAAGAACAGAAGGGGACAAAATCCTTTAATGTGTATAGTGTTTCCTTTATGCACTTTGGGAGCCCAGGGCTACTATGAAGAGTATGATAGAAAATGGACCATATGTCAAGAAACAAAGAAAAAGAATAGAATGGAAGGAAAGAGGAATAGGGAGAGAGAAACAAGGAGGAAGGCCAGTGAACAAGCCTAATTAACCTGCATATATACAACCTGTCTTGCTGACTATTATTCACCTAATGACCTGGGAGCCTTGAACATGTCTCTCCCATAATAAGCACAGAGAACAATTCAGGAACAAAGAACCTCAGATGCCTGCAATCACAGCCACTTTCTGTTTCATAAAGCTTCTAAAATAACCCCTTCAATTACTGAGGTGACAAAGCCTGATTGTTACAAAGAAAATCTCATAGGGGAAAAGGTAGCTTTCTTATTCTCCAGTTAATGCATATTGGGGCTTTCTCCAAGAGCACTTCCCACTAAAACACACACCCCTAGTGTCTGTCATCCAGGCCTCTCACCCAGCTTGGTCCATCCAGGGGTCTGTCCAGAAGTCAACAAGGAAGAACAATGGGGTTCTTCACTCATGAGAACGATGAGACCACTACTGACTTTCAAAACCAGGCCAGAATCACTTCCTGACTCAGACCTGCACAATAACACCCCTTTGCTGAGAATCACCTTCAAAGGTCCAAACTCTGGTATACAAGTTAGCTTTTCCCCAGTCTGCCCCCACCTTTTGTAGATACCAGCAGCAATTGGCTCTCTGGAGGCCTTTCAGGGGGGCCTCTGACCTCTGATCTTTCCTTTCACACACACCCACAGCAATTTCTCAGCCTAGAGTCCTGGGAGAAGGTCTGTGAGTTTCCAGAAACATATGGGAAATCTACTGTGTTTTCTGAGGAGCCTATGGGAAGCTTAAACTAGCCTTCATAAAGGTTAATGATTGACAGTCTCTATTTGACGAAACTTTAGTCATGTGTCTTTGAACGCACATGATGAAGCCCTGACTTTGGGACTTCTGTGTTCACCTCTGCATTGTCCAGTTTTAGCAAAAATACTGGTAGGTTAACTTAGTCAGAATCTCCATTCTCCATATCTGATCACACTCAATATCTGATCAGGTTCCTCATTCCCCACCATCCCCTAATTGATGTCTGATCACTCTGGCCTGCCTTCAGCAAGAATCCAGTGAGGTCAGTTTGGCCAGAGTCTCCTCTCACCCCTGATGTTTCCTCTTAGTAGTTTCTCATCCACTACCCCCCACTCTGTTCCTTAGCTTTAAAGTCCCAATTTTCCCAGCAATAGCACTGCTAGGAATTTACCCAAGGGATACAGAAATGCTGAGGCATAGGAGCACATGTACCCCAATGTTCATAGCAGCACTCTCCACAATAGCTAAAACATGGAAAGAGCCTAAGTGTCCATCAACAGACGAATGGATCAAGAAGATGTGGTTTATCTATACCATGGAATACTACATGGCAATGAGAAACAATGAAATCTGGCCATGTGTAGCAACATGGATGGACCTTGAGGGTGTTATGCTGAGCGAAATAAGTCAGGCAGAGAAGGACAAATACCATATGTTTGCACGTATAGGAGGATTAGGAGGAACTTGACGGAGGACCAAGGGGGAGAAGAAGGGCGGAAATGGTGGGGGAAAGGGAGAGAGGCAAACCATGAGAGACTCTTGAATGCTGACAAAAACTGAGGACTGATGGATGTGGGGGGGAGGGGGGGATGGGCATGAAGGAGGGCACTTTGGGGATGAGCACTGAGTGTTATGTAGAAACTAATTTGACAATAAACTATTTGTAAAAAAAAAAAATAAATAAAGTCCCAATTTTCAAATTCAATCTCTCTACCTCACTGCAGTGGTCTCTACAACTCTCACTAGGCTTCTGAATAAGTCCAACTTGCCATCCTTAACAAGTGTCACTAAACATATAAGAGCCACTCTGCAGCACCCCTACCATCTCACACAGCTCTCTTGATCCCTTTCACTTCTCTTTCTCTCTTCACCCAAATATATATGCTGCTCAGAGAACAGGAGAGAGACCTCCCCAGGCACTCTTGCTGCCAAGAAAAATCATTTTTGCCTCCTAGCTACCAGGATAAGCCGAGGCTCATGCAAGTCCAAGGCAAGGCCTAGTGTACTTGGGCTGCTTTGAAGGAAGACTGTGTACCATGCTATAGAATAAGAGTGGCAAAGTACAGTTCTTGGTGGGATGAATAGAGGACTCTTATTTGTTGTTATCTGATTTTATCCTGTTATTATCTTAACTTAATGCTTACTTATGATTTCTACTAACTGCTAAGGTTAGTAAAGAATATAGGAGTTGCCACAGTACAGTAATAACCCAGTTTCTCCAAAATATTTCCCCTTTCCTGTCTGTTTCTCACTGAAGACTATTTCTGGACAGTATCCAGACTCTCAGTCCAAGATCTTGGGTCAGCCTGAGCAACAGGTTATGATCACCTATAGTGAGGTCTCAAGAAGGGAAGGCAGCATCCATCTCCTAGGGACATCATGAAGCCAGGCTTCACACTTTGCTTTGAGAAGGCTCCAGGAGGAGCTGAGGAGAGCAGGAGGACATCTTAGAGTTTTCTTTAACCCATAGAGATGATATAGAGGTAAGGCATATGAATGAGAAACAAAGCTCATCAAAATCACAGAGCTCTCCAGTTCTCTCACAGGGGCATACATCTTTATTTAAAGCTCAGACACAATTTTAAAGGGGTGAAGCAAATACAAAGACTTAAGTTCTCAGATAGACATCAGAGATACCCTGTCTTGAGAGCAGATACAGATGAGTGCTCTCATTTATTAAAGGGCAGGGATACACCATGCACTACCCACCAGAACCATCTCACGAGTTCACCTGAAGGCCTTAAGTGCCACGTCTTTCTGGAATGTTGCTGGTACCCTGTAGGTGAAGAGTGGCTCAGCTGAGTAAGAGGATGTTCTGGGGTTCTAGAAGAGCTAGAAGAAACAATAATATATGATAGCCTACTGGTGATTGCAAGGAAAACTATCCAATTTCCTAAAATTTCAGTTCACCCAGCTTATCAACTGAAGATACTAGAGAAAAAATCTTTCCATTTAGTTCTATGCATGAATTAATAACTTTTAAAAGACAATAATCAGAAGATAAAAGGTAATAATCAGAAATACTTGAACTGGATGCAGCTGCCTCCTCTTCTCCCTCCTCCTCTGGTGCTCTCTTCCTCTACCACTCTCCTCTTCCACCTGCTTCATCTTCCTTCCTACTCCTTTCTCCTCCTCCTTGCCCTCTTCTCTTCCCCTGCTTGCTTTCCAAGATGCTTCCTCCCCCAGGACCCACAACTAACCCTACTGCTCTAAGTAGGACAGGGAGCTTTAGGGGACTTCATGCTTCAATATCCTAATCCCAATGTCCATTCTAAGAGAGAGTCTGGGCTCTGGACTTCCAGTTTCAGTTGGGATACATAGAGAGCTAGAAACACACCACTCCCACTCTCACAACCAGAAAATAGGGAACAAATGTTAATGACTTATTCTGTCAATAATAAGATAATAATAATGATGCATCACAAACACTTAACTTGAAATCTAGAGTAAGACAGGTGACCACAGGGAGGAACAGGGTGAAGCATTGCTTCCCTTAGACAGGTGTCACCACAACATACAGAAGCAGGCAAGATTAAATCAGAAAAATTTTAAACAGCTCAAGGTCATGTGTGGGCTAGCATGAGAGTAGGGAGGCCCTGGGAACTACAAAATAGGGGTGTGAGCATCTTCTTACAGGGTTTTGTTCCAGGAACTCTAGCAGGTGCTCACATGGAAGATGGAGAGATTGAGGAGACTTGTGAAGAAGCCTTAATTTCAGGGGGAAACACATCAAATTTGGTAGCCTAAGGGCACCCCAGCAGATGGGAATGGTGGGTAAGAAGGGAAGGTAGCTCTACCCTTGTCAGAGAAGTAGGAACTTTGCATAGTCTAGCAGACAGCTGGAGAGAAGCTGAGCAATTCCAAGTGTCTGGGATACTAGACGTTACCATGGCAACCACACACTGCAACATAGCCGACCTCTGACTGGATCAGACCCCCAACTAAATCCCACAGTGCTATGGACTGAATCTTATGTCTCACCTGCCAAATTCATATATTGAAGTCCTGACCTCCAGTGTGGCTATATCCAGAGATGGGGCCTCAAAGGAAGTAATTGAAGTTCAGTGAAGTCATAGGGTGGGGCCCTGATCTGAAAGGATTGTGTCCTTATAAGAACAGCCACCAGGGAATGCTCTTTCCCTCCATGTACACACACACACACACACACACACACACACACACAGGAAAGGCCCTGTGAGGACATAGTAGGAAGGCAGCCATCCACCAGCCAAAAAGAGAGCCCTCACCAGAAATCAAATTGGCCAACACCTTGACTTTGGACGTTCAGCCTCCAGAACTATGACTAATAAATGTCTGTTGCTCCCAGGCTGTGGTATTTTGTTAGGGCAGTCTAAGTTGACTAACACACTCTATATCTACTGTCCTATACAACACATCTGGCTTTTAGTGACAAACTATGAGGCCTACAAAAAGGCAAGAGAAAACATAGTATAAAGAAATGAAGCAGTCGTCAAGTCCAGATGACACAGCCAAAGAAAAGAACCAATTAACTTAAAGATAGGTCAGTAGAGAGGCACCTGGGTGGCACAATCAGTTGAATGTCTGACTCCTGATTTTGGCTCAGGTCATGATCTCACAATCATGAGATTAAGCCCTGCATTGGGATCCACACTGAGTGCAAAGCCTGCTTATGATTCTCTCTCCTCTGCCCCTCCCTGCTCACATACGCTCTCTAAAAAAATAAAAAATAAAATAAAATAAAAATAAAAATATAGGTCATTAGAAACCACCCAAGCTGAAATGTGAAAGGAAATGGGGACAGGCCACAAATCAGAGTATCCAAGAGCCGAGGGGAGCCAGGGTCTAACTGGATTGTGCCAGTTCACTGTCATCGTCCCCCTAGGGGGAACCTGGCCACCAACCACCCATCACAGTCTCACTAATGCTTCCCTCCTCTTCTGTTCTGGCCTCATGTTTCGTCGCATGTCCTGGAGTAAGGGGCACCTGGATGGCTCAATCGGTTAAGCAGCAGACTCTTGATTTCCACTTAGGTCATGGTCTTATAGTTCATGAGACTGAGCCCCACATCAGCCTCCATGCTGACAGTGTACAGAGCCTGCTTCTGGTTCTCTCCCCTTCCCCTGCCTATTCCAGCTCTTGCTTACTCTCTCTCAAAAAAGAAAAAAAAAAAAGAACTTAAAAAAATGTTTAATGTCCTAAAGGAACAAAATAATCATGGGAAAAACAGTGATCAACTGTGTTGTGACCTTCAGCAATAGTTGTAATAGTTCTCTGGTGTCTCTGTGAATCTCAACCATGGACAACTATCCTTTGCAGTGTACAGACTGGATACAGTAGCTTTCCAGGGGTGACACAGCCAACAACTGCCAGAATTTTCCTTGATCTGGATACAGGCTGAATAAAATCTGTAACAATCAGAAACATTTAATGATAAATTTATAGCAGAACAATAGGATTTAAATAATTTTGACAAAAGTTGAAAATATGGGTATGATAATGATGTTGATTGATGTATCCAACATTCACCAGCTCACTCTAAATAGTTCTTAGATATTAAAATATAAAATTCTGATTCATTATACTATTTTCCACTATAATGGATCTTAATTATTGATATTTGTTGATTTTAAGGATTAACCACCCAGCCACAAAATTGTCATCAGAGGTAGGTAAACATGGTTTTCCCATACCGGAGGAAAGGGAACACAATCCATGTGGTGGTTAAAATGTGTTTGTGTGATGCTCAGCATAACTCATCGTCAGGGAAATACAAATCAAAACCACACTGAGATACCACCTCACGCCAGTCACAGTGGCTAAAATAACAAATCAGGAGACTATAGATGCTGGTGAGGATGTGGAGAAACAGGCACACTCCTACACTGTTGGTGGGAATGGAAACTGGTGCAGTCTCTCTGGAAAACAGTGTGGAGTTTCCTCAGGAAAATAACAATAGAACTCCCCTATGATCCAGCAATAGCACTGCTAGGAATTTACTCAAGGGATACAGGAGTGCTGATGCATAGGGGCACATGTACTCCAATGTTCATAGCAGCACTTTCAACAATAGCCAAATCATGGAAAGAGCCTAAGTGTCAATCAGCTGATGAATGGATCAAGATGTGGTTTATCTATACAACGGAATACTACATGGCAATGAGAAAGAATGATATCTGGCCATGTGTAGCTACATGGATGGAACTCTGGGGTGTTATGCTGAGCGAAATAAGTCAGGCAGAGAAAGAGAGATGCCATATGTTTTCACTTATAAGTGGAACAGAAGAAACTTAACAGAGGACCATGGGGGAGGAGAAGGAGGAAAATAGTTGGGGAGAGGGAGGAAGGCAAACCATGAGAGACTCTTGAATGCTGAGAACTTAGGACTGCTGGGGGTGGGAGTGAGGGGAAGGGGGGTCATGGGCATGGAGGAGGGCATTTGTTCGGATGAGCACTGGGTGTTATATAGAAACCAACTTGACAATAAACTATAAAAATTTAAATTTTTTTTAAATTTTAAAAAAGTATGTTTTTGTGGAATTTTCAGAGCATGTTATACCTCATTAGAAAGTACACTGAAGTGATCATAAGATGACATGCTACAGAAATTCAAAACAAATTTCTCAGATCACCAAAACTTCATCTCACAGAAGAAGGCTGAAGACTAGACAATGTACTCAGGTCAAACTTCAGGAAATCAGGGGAGATTTGGCGTACCCTACCTCTTCCTTGGAAACCCCACTGCCCTCCCCAGCATGCTTTGATAAACAGCTGGAGATTCAGAACCACACAATTATGTGAATAGAAAGTAAAGAGGTAAACTGGTAGCCAAAAAAGTAAAATCATGACGTTTTCAAAGTTCAATGTATTGTTTCTTGTTTCATGCATATATTTCCTTTCTCTGGGCCAATGCTCCCCTCCCTATGGGTTCTTAAACAGTTGCAGGTATTCAATTAGCTAGTATTGGCTTCATGCATCACCCTTGCTGCTCAAGATGCAACATTGCCCTCTGTATGTCACATTGAGAAGACTCTTCTCATGCACAATCCTGCACACATACACAGATCCGCAATACTCACGCACAAAGATACAGATAATGAAAACCACGTATTCACAGACAGATGGGTCATGTGCAGTTTCCAGTCATGTACCATTCAGCATGAGTCTTAACCACAGGCTGCCTACATAGAAGAGCCATGCCACACACATCCTGGAGTCCACATTGCACAGTCATGAAAATACCATTTACAAATTCTATCCTTGCTCACGATATCACATGCTATCACAGCAGCATTCACCAACCACCCAGTGGAGTCTCCCAACAATGGTGCATACAAACCATCTTATGCCAATGCTGAAAATTGATATACTCCCAGAATTAAGGCCCCAAGCACAGACATGATCTCAAAATCATCACAGACCACAAATGACCTACATGTCCCACACTGGCATATAGACACACAAACACACAGCTAGACACAGAGGACCTCACACACGCATGTACACACACACACCCAGGCATATACACACACATGTGTACACTACAGATATGCACACCTGGGCACAAAGAATCTTACACTCATTCAGCAAAAAATTTTGAGCACCTGCAATGTGATTCCAGCTAGTACCACATCAGGATACACACCACATAAAGAGAGCTGACTCCTCATATCAGAGTGCACATTCAGGTCACCTCCAGAACCATGGCTCTACCGACCTCCCTGGGAATGCATGGGCAAGTGGAATTGAAGAACCCTCCAGGAAAAGGGCAAATAGGGACCTTCAGTCCCTCACAACAGGGCAGCCCAGTTGAATAGAGGCCTAGAGCACCATCTCAAAGGGACACAAAACATTCTTGTGGCCACCCATGGTTCTAGACATGTTCCAATACAAATAGTTTTACTACATGTGGTTGAAAAAAGAATTGGTACACCACTTTGAGGTGGAAAGTTAGACCCAGGAAGCAAGCTAACTGCCTTCTACAGAGCAAAGCCAAGTCCCAAGGTCTTCTGTTGCATCACATGTGGTTCACAGTAGGTGAGCATTGCTAAAGGGAGGCCTCCCTCACCAACCTCAGCCCACTATCCCAGTATCTCCTCCAAAGAAAGTGTGAGCCCCATACCTCAGGTGTCTTGCTACCCAGCCCATGACACCCACGGGCTGTGATAACCCATCAGAGTACTCACAGAGCACACCACCACAAAGACAAACAGGCTTGCGACCTTCAGCCACTGTATACAGCGCCTGTAAGAGAAAAAGTAGGCCCCACGTCACACCAACAGAGTCCTATTTGCTTCTGTCCAGACTGCCAAACCTCAGACATCTCTCTGAAGCTTTCGGTTATATCAATATCAAAGCACATATTGGAAATTATTTCCATAATATGGTATGAAGTAAGACACTGCTGACCTGTAAATATACGGCTTCATGAAAAGCAGCTTGGTGAAAATTATAGTGGAGAGCAAAGTTAACGTCAAGTGCTTGCATATGTTTCTAGCTGGAGATGCTAAAATTCACATTTGGAGGTTCTTTGCTCGCATTTTGAAAGGCTGAGTTTCCTAGAAACAAGCTTTATCTGGGCTCTCAGATTCATATTTATCAATTATATTCACCTAAGTTTTCTGGAAAGAGGGAATGTAGATTTGATCATCAATATAAAATATAAAAACACAGACTGAGGGGCACCTGAGTGGCTTAGTCAGTTAAGTGTCTGACTATTGATTTCAGCTCAGGTTATGATCTCACAGTTTTGTAGTTTTAGCCCCATGTCAGGCTCTGCGATAGCAGTGTGGGGCCTGCGTGGGATCCTCTCTCCTCTCTCTCTGCCCCTCCTCAACTTGTGCTATCACTGCTTCTCTCAAAATAAATAAATAAATGTTTAAAAAAAAACCCTAAGTCATAACCAAATAATTAAAAAAAAGGAACTGCAGTCCTGTTACTGGTTGTACTAACAGAGTCTTTTAAGAATTTCTTCAGACAAATATCATATGTTTGCACGTATAGGAGGATTAGGAGGAACTTAACTGAGGAATGAGGGGGAGAAGAAGGGGGGAAATGGTGGGGGAAAGGGAGAGAGGCAAACCATGAGAGACTCTTGAATGCTGACAAAAACTGAGGACTGATGGATGTGGGGGGGAGGGGGGATGGGCATGGAGGAGGACACTTGTGGGGATGAGCACTGGGTGTTATGTGGAAACTAATTTGACAATAAACTATTTGTAAAAAAAAAAAAAAAAGAATTTCTTCAGAGATAATTTAATAATCAGGCCATGCTCTTGGCCCTCTCTGAGATCTCCTGACAGTGTCCTGGCTCAGTCACCATTATATCTTTTTACCTGTGGTTCTCAGGGCCTAGGCAAACCTGAGTCTCCCCAACCCTTTGCAGTCCTTCCAGTCCCATCTCTGTTCATATCAGATCCCCAGGTCCACTGGATCCTATCTTCTAATGACACTATCACTGCCCAACCCTGAGGTGTTCTCTCCCACTGGCCGGCTTTCAAGAGTAGGTTCTAGGGTATTTGTACTCTGTCCCTGTATGTAGAAGTGTGCTGGTACATAGCCTGTGCTTGCCACATGTTTGTAGAATGCAAAAAGTCTATGAATTTTTTCATTTGCATTCTCTTAGATTTAATGAATAATCATTTCAGACTTCCAAATTCAACAACTCTTTTTTTTTTTTACAGATAGTTTATTGTCAAGTTGGTTTCCATATAACACCCAGTGTTCATCCCCACAAGTGCCCTCCTCCATGCCCATCTCCCCCCTCCCCCCCACACCCATCAGTCCTCAGTTTGTTCTCAGCATTCAAGAGTCTCTCAACAACTCTTTTTTAAATGGATAGCAAAACTGGAGATATCACAATCCCAGATGTCAAGATATACTACAAAGCTATAGTAATCAAAACAGCATAGTACTGGCACAAAAAAAGACACATAGATCAATGAAACAGAATGGAGACTCCAGAAATAAACCCACACTCTCATGGTCAATTAATCTGTGACAAAGAAGCAAGATTATACAATAGGGATAAGACAGTCTCGGGGTGCCTGGGTGGCTTAGTCCGTTAAGCGTCCGACTTTCACTTAGGTCATGATCTCGCGGTTCGTGGGTTCGGCCCCGCATCGGGTTCTGTGCTGACCGCCAGCTCAGAGCCTGGAGCCTGTTTCAGTCTGTGACTCCCTCTCTCTCTGACCCTCCCCTGCTCACGCTGTCTCTCTCTCTCTCTCTCCTACAAATAAATAAAAAACATTAAAATATATATATATATATATATATATATATATATATATATATATATATAAAAGACAGTCTCTTCAATAAACGGTGGTGGAAAAACTGTACAGCTACATGGAAAAGAATGAAACTGGACTGCTTTATAACACTATATACAAAAATAAGCTCAAAATGGATTAAAGATCTTAATGTGAACCTGAAACCCTAAAACTCCTAGAAGAGAATATAGGCAGTTATTTCTTTGACATTAGCCATAGCAACATTTTTCTAGATGTGTCTCCTAAGGTAAGTGAAACAGAAGCAAAAATAAACTACTGGGACTACATCAAACTAAAAAGCTTCTGCACAGTGAAGGAAAACACCAACAAAACAAAAAGCAACATACTGAAAGGGAAAAAAACTTAGCTAATGATATATCTGATAAGGGATTAATATCCAAAATATATGAAGAACTTATTTAACTCAACACACACACACACACACACACACACACACACACACACACACAATTTTAAAATGGGCAGAGGACCTGAATAGACATTTCTCCAAAGAAGGCATAAAGATGGCCAGCATGCACATGAAAAGATGCTCAATATCATAATCATCAGGGAAATGCAAATCAAAACCACACTGAGATATCATTTTCCACCTGTCAGAATGGCAAAAATCAAAAAGACAAGAAATAAGAAGTGTTGGTAAGGATGTGGAGAGAAAGGAACCCTTGTGCACTATTGGTGGAAATGTAAATTGATGCAGCCATTGTGGAAAACAGTATGGAGATTCCTCAAAAAAATAAAAATAGAAATACCATATGATGCAATAATTTCACTACTGGGCATTTGCCCAAAGAGCACAAAAACATTAATTAAAAAGATATAGGCACCCTTATGTTTATTGTAGCATTATTTACAAGAGCCGAGATATGGAAGCAACCCAAGTGTCCTTCAACAGTTGGATGGATGGAGAATATGTGTTGTATGTGTATTTGTATTTTTATTTATATTTACATAGAATAGAATGTTACTCATCCATAAAAAAGACAAGATCTTGCCATCAGTGACAACATGGATGACAACATGGATGGACCTAGAAGATATTAGGCTAAGTGAAATAAGTCAAACAGAGAAAGAGAAATACCATTTGATTTCACTCATATATGAAATCTGAAAAACAAAACAAATGAATAAACAAAAACCAGACTTATGCCTATAAATACAAATGGTTGCCAGGGGGTAGGGAGGTAGAGGGATGGGCAAAAGGGGTGAAGGGGAGTAGAAGATACAGTCTTCCAGTTATAGAATGGACAAAACGCCGGTATAAAAAGTACAGCATAGGAAATATAGTCAGTGGTATTTTAAGGGCGCTGCATGGTGACAGATGGTAGCTATGCTTATGGTGAGGGTAGGATGTCATAGATGGTTGCTGAAACACTGTGTTGTAGATCTGAAATTAATGTAACATTGTATGTCAACTATATTTAAATTAAAAATAGTAATAAATGGGAATCAAAATACTTCTTTTTTAAAGAAAAAGGCATTAATTTATTCTAAATACAGTTTTTTCTACATAACTGACATATACAGCAGAGCTGACAACCCAAAATATGTTTTACAAGTTTCTTTAATGATCATACATGGTATTTTTTAGACCTGTTAAAAAAGAATGGCACTAAGATTTTTAGTTCAGTGGAAAGCTCAATGCAACTATTCTGTGAATCCTAGAACATAGAGCAACTATAGAATGTAAAGTTTAATTTTTCCATGGTGCAGGACAGTTAGAGAACCTCGCATCCTCTGGAGCTGTGAACCAATCAGTTGAGGAAAGATGTTAACAATGTCAGGGCTAACCATCCTGGTAGCCCATGGGGCCAGATCCCTATTCACACACTTTCACACAATTCACATAATTTCATAGCAGATTCTATGGCCAAATATTTGCCATATCTATGCAGACAGCTGAGACCAGTTATCATGAAAAAGCAATACATGACTGGGGAGCATACTAGTAAATGACATCTCAGGTGGTAGATGTGGGGTCACATCATTGCCTACCCACCTTGGCTTACAAGCTGCATGATCCTGGGCAAAATCCTTAATCTCTCTTAACTTCTTTCCTTCACCTACCTCTCAAGTTTGCTGGGAGGGTCAATAGGACAATTGAGAATGGGCCTCTCCAGGAACAGACAAGGTGCACTTTGGACATATAGATAGGTACACTTCTAATCAGTCCTTCAAACAGTTTCAGAAAAGACAGTTCCCCTAATATGGACAAATAATGACACTAGTATCTGACAGCTACATAGTAGGCACTATCTCACCTAACAATGAGCTTTCCCACAGACCATCTTAGCAGAGGCCCACACACGGCTGAATAGTAAAGGAGACAAGGTGTAAAGCGGACAGTTGCACAGAGGTATCTGGCTCTACTGGTCCCTCAGCTACCTCAGAGCATATCTGGAATGAGGACCTGGTGATCTTGGTCCTCAGGCCTTATTCTGTCCCTGGAGATGCCACTTTCAAACATGTTGCTCTCAACAGAAGCTTTCCTTTAAATAAATGTACCTATGGAAGCCCAGCAGACAAAACAGGGAGAGTAAAAGTGCTCCTGCAATGGCTGGAGCCTCAGCTCTACCACACACATGCACACCTAAGACCTCCTACAGATAACACAAGCACAGCCTTTTACCACTACTACCACCAACTTCTTTCCTCACACATGTGCAGTCTCAGGTTCCCAGCTCACACCGGCCCAACAACAGTTTCCTGAAGGATGTGCCCAACCTTTTTAATAACATGCTTTATCACTAACTTCAAGGGATCATATCAGCTTTTAAAACACCATGAAGACTGCTGAAGTGAACTAATTCCATCTGCAAATCTCATGGTCATGAAGACCTCTGAAACACAAACAGGAAGGAGTGTAGGATGTTAGTCATTTAGGTTTGTAATTGGTCTGTCTTATACCCTCACAAATCCATACTGATTAGCAGTGTCACCTTACATTTCTTCCAAGGCCTGGAGAAAAAATAATCTTCCAGAAAAAGTACAATCTGGACAAATATGAAAACTCTTTCCCATCATCTTCACTCTGTCACTTGGAAAGGATGTAGTGAGGGTGAGACACCCTTTACCACAGCCCAGTCCCAGATAAGTGGGATGCTCTGTACAACCATCACCTTGTGCCAGTGCTAGCACTCCCAATCTCCCTACCTCAGCTTTGAAAGATGAGACCTGATGTGAGCACTGTCCAGAAGCTCCCCTTTCTCATGGGAGGCAGATCCAGAGGAGCCAGCCAAGTCTTTGCTCAGCAGGGATCCTCCTTCCCAGTCAGCTGAGCTGTTCCCCCAAGAATCATCAGCAGTGATAAACTCTGGATGACAAAAAGGCATACCCCATGACCTAGAAAGCAAAGCTTTGTGATTATTTTCACAGAAATAGTAGCGTCTCCAAAACAAGATTTCATTTCAGTGGTGAGTGTGAAATGTGAAATCAATTCGTTTTTAAAAGGACCACAGACATTTTAGTGCTGTCAAACTGGTAGGAATGAGTCTTTCATGACATCATAGGACACTTACCTTAAGGAAAATAATTTGGGGTCATTCAGGTCTTCAAAATGAATTGTGGATTTTCAAGAAACATCAGTTTGTTCTGACTTTGGAACTTCACAATAAATCTATTTCAGTATTTGCTTTCTCTTTGATAGTGCTGGAATTCTCAATATCTAGTTGTTATACTTGTCCTGACGTGGAGTGAGTGGTGTAAGCCTTTCCTCCTTTGTGTAATTCTCTTTCTACAGTAGAGCTATAGGGAAGATGGTCTACCTGGCTTTTCCACCCAGCCTGTACATGAGCATGAGCAGGAATGAACATTAGTGCTGGACTAGATGGGACCAAGGATGGAGCCTATATCTAGAAGTATGATTCAAGAGAAGTCACAAATTTTTCTCAAAATTACATGTAGATACATCCATTGACTTTTAGTTAAATCTTTGGGCTTCTGAACAACTCATTCAGTACAGATGCACTTGAGTCTAGTGAGGTTGCATCAAAGCCCAGTGTTTTCATGTATTGCCTGGAATACTAACTGGATCACAATATTGACATAAAAATCCATGAACTTAGAAACAAATGATGCCTCTCAAGCCCAGCTAGCTCTACAGAACATTGTGATTCTCCTGAATACCTGTAATTGCCTTTAAACTGGTTCACATGAAAAAGATAGTTTTATTCATAAAAAGAAGCCCAAAGATGCAAATTAGGCTGCGTGAATCCAATATGTAAGAATAACAAATGATTCTGTCAGTGCTACAAACTAATCAATACTAAAAATAAAGAGTTTTGTGACCAGGAAATACTCATGAGTGAGGAATAATATCACAACCTCCACCACCACCACGAGCTGGTGAACAAATACAACTGTAACCAAAATTGGAACTAAGGAAACTTATTTTAGAAGTGGCAACAGGACAGCTAATGTCAGTGTTTCTAGAACAATGCTGTGCAATAGAACTTTCTGTGGTGGATTGGAGTGTTCTCTGCCCTATCCAGTATGGTAGTCACAGATGTGCATTGGACACTGGCAGTGTGTAACTGAAGACCTGAATTTTTTAATTTTAACTTTAATTAATTTGACTTTGAATAACATCTTTGCCAAGTGGCAACTATACTGGTCAGTGCAGATGCAGAGTATGCTCCTACCCTTGTACCATCAGCTGCACATTCCAGCTTTCAAAACCATGAAAAAAGGGAAATGGTATAAGCAAACCTGACCCATGTTCTGCTCCTCTGAAGTGGTTTTTGTGGCATGAGGCACAGCTTGGTATCCCAGAGGATGTTTCTGGGCTCCATATGCTAAGGACAAATGCCTAAACATTATGTTTTTCCAATGAAACATGGGTTCAAAAAAAAAAAAACCTTAATGGTTTACCAAGTAATTCAAAGGAAAGCATCAAGGGAATCAATGTATGAAGTGTTTCAAAGTTATTTATTAGGAGAAATGGAGAAAATTAAGTTATCTTCCTGGTTTCAGGGGTTGTACTGGACATTGGGATGTGAGATGAAGACGCAGGCTGGTAGGCATAACCATGGAACATACAGGCATATTGTGAAGTATAGGCATGAATGTAATGTTTGAGAGCACAGAAGAAGCATTGATCCTTGAGAAGAGTTGGGGGGGGGCAATGTTTCATAAAAGAGTTGACATTTGAGCCCCTTTGAAGTTGAGTGGGACTGCCCTGGAGAGCCAGAAGTGGAGGAGGTTCCTCTAATCAAAGGGCTCACTGGGAACTTTTTAGCGAGACACAACTTGTCATCAAGAATCTTCTAGAGGGAGCCAGATTGTCTCTGCATTGAGAGGGGTGAGTCTTTGGCAAGTGAGGCCAGGAATCCACATGGTATACAAGTACCCCCAAGGAATTCTGATTCTCTCTGTAAAGTATGAAGCCTCCCCCCCCCCCATGCAGACAGGTTGCAGACAGGGCTGGAGAGAGGGTGGGCAGCTCCTCGGAGGTTGGGAGGGAGGTGAGTGCAAGTAACGCAGCAGGCTGCCTACTGATGCAGACGCATGGGGTTAGAGAGCAGGAAAGGAAGGGCCCATGACAATGCCACCAAGTCTGTAATGTGCATGGGGTCAAGGGATACAAAGAATATGGTCTGGGCTTCCAGAAGTTTGTCTACAAAAAGAAGAGATGAGTGTGAATACCAAGACCAGGGCACTTCATTCTAGGGGACAGAGTAAGTTATCCTCCAGATCAGCTCTGCTCAAAGATTCCAGAACCAACCTGGTTTGTCCCCAATAAAACCTTCAAACTTGCAAGAAGTAAAGTTTTCTCTTAAGTCATACATTTTCAACCTCATTGCTATTGGCCATTCTTTGTTGTGGTGAAGTGTCCTGTGCATTGTAGGATGTTTCGCAGCATCCCTGGTCTTTACCTTTAAATGCCAGTAGTACCTCTTCCCCAGCTGTTACTATATATATATATTGAGAGCCCTGGCATGGTAAGACAGCCCATCAGAACTGTGTACATCATGAATGTGCACATGTATTATTTAAGAATTAGAGGGTTATACTCAAGGTTTTTAGGAAATTCATAAGCCACAGAATACAACTACTAGAATCATGAATATATACTACATTGAATTGACAAAGACCTGGCAGAGACCAAACAATATGTCAGGCAAAAATTAATATCTTAGGAGGAAACTCTCCAGCATAAGTGACAAGGGCAATCCTCAGGGATTTCTTAATTTTAAAAGAAGAGCAGAGGTGGAGGTGGGGAACTCACCCTTTCTCTTGTGAGAAATTTCTCAGCAAAGGTGTGTTTTCTGTAAAGCAGGAGTCTTTTGACCTGGAGTTGGAGAACTGAGGTAAAGAAGAATGAGACCTGAAAGACACAGTGAAGGAAAAGTATCACCAACACAAAGATAATGGAAGTGTTCACTGGTAATTAGAAGCTACATCCAAGAACATGCCTGTGATTCAGTAATAAATCTTACATAAGTTATACCTGAATTGCAAAAAGCAGGAGTTTTAGGAGAGACAGTTAGAAACAACTCTTCTTCCCAGCATAAACCAGTTTGAAAATGCAAAGCAGAAACTCACATAGGAAACCAGATGCTGTGGGACTGATACTTTTAGGCTTACTTTAGCATTAACAGTAGATTCCAGCCACCTTTGCCATTCCATACAGAGCTTATCATGGAGAAAACCATTCAGAATCTGATGGCCTCTTCTATACTTAGAAAATTCTACTTACTAAAATCACAGTGTTTAAACATCACACATTAAAAATATCTTAATGGTTTTCAATCAAATTCCAAGAAGGAGAAGTAAAGGCCCACGGGGTCAAAATGAAATGATAAAATGGCAGGGAGGGGTCTCTCAGAGGTATGCAAGCCACAAGTAAAGCAAAGCAAAGGTTCACACTGTGTGAGACTCCCTTCCACTGTGATGGCCTGTACTAGAGGAAGAGCCACCATAAACTTATCCAAATCAGGAGCTTTTGAGATGGAAAGAATTGCATAGGCACAACAGAGCCCATAAGCTGCAGAAATCATTTTCATTCCTAACTGCTGGAAATATGGTATTTTATACACTAGTACATTGTCTTTCCTAAAGTAAGCCAAGCCACACAGAACTGTGGTGGATGCCATGAAACACTCACCCGGGGAAATAACAGTACTTCAGATCATAAATGCAGAGCCAAACCAAGAAAAATAGTTCTACCCCCTTTCTCTCTCTCATTCAAGCATCCACCTGTGACACAGACACTAAGACTCGGTCTCTTGAAAATATGAAACCAAGGCCCCGAGCTGTGTCTAACAATATGCACCACTCCACGCTGAAGTCAGAAAAGAAGTCTGTCTTGGGCCACCTAGTGTCCTCTGAATGCCACCTCTGGGCAGCCCTGGGCACTTTTAATGGGAAACACAGATGACTGGGGACACTGTCTGGAAGGGCTGTAACAGACGAGGAGCAAAGCATGGCAGAGAACAAGGTATAGAATAGATGCCCCAACTAGCAGAGAGGAGAGCAACAAAATAAAATATTAATCCCTCTTGAGGGATTTAATAATTAGTGTACTTTAGCTGTTCAAACTGACTTATACAATTAGTTGGGCTTTTAAATTTTTCATGTCTCATAACCATAAATGAAGAAGGGTTCCAGGTGCATTTACATAAATGTCTCAGTGAGTCAACTAATATCCAGTGTTTTCTGTTACTCCCTAGGATTGTTTGTTACATAGCACTTCTGGAAGAGGTGACTGTTACAGTGAACTCATTCACACTATTTTCTCACTCTGAGCTTCCATTTTCTTAGCTGTATAATGTGGATTAAAAGAAAAAAGCTCACTAAAGTAAGTCACACTAAATTGGACATATAAAGGTAAAACACAGGGTTTGGCTATTGACTCAATTATTTCTATTACACTCAGCCTCTTATGAATGACTGCCATGTTATTTAATCTTGTTTTATCTGGTACCTTAAGGGGTATCTAGTTCAGTGTAAGTGCTTAAATACTTAATAATGAATTAGTTAAATCCTGGTAATCGTAGCTTATTTACATGAGACGGCTTTTTGACTCTGTGAAACAGTTTTCTAAAGCATTAAATCAATAATGAGTTCAGAATCAGCACTGACCCTCTGAAGAGCACAGAGTCCTCAAGAGCGTGGAGGTGCTATTGCTTCCTGGAAAAGTACTACCCACAGGCTCTCAGCACAGCTTACAGTGCAATGCTGAGAATTTACCTTGTGGCCATCTCGGAGGAAAATCAGAAGTGAGGAAATATCAAAAGTATATTTTATTTTCTCTGAGGAAAGCACATCTGGCTGATTTCATTATTTAACATTCTAGTGCACTTTGTGTACTCGCAGTATCTTATAACTGTAGTTAAGCATACAGAGTAGTTTCTAAGCTTTTTAATATTGAGTTATGATTCTAAAGAGCCAAAAATAAAATGTTTTGCTAGTAAATTCCCAAAAAAGACTTCAGTCTACTCCAAATTTAAAACTTAATTTCACACTGTCCACATATTACTTTCCATTGTTCCAAGTAAATTTCTTTCTGCAAAGAGGGTAAGCACAGAGAGGCCTTCAGACCCTGTTACTTCACAGGATCCCTGACCTGCCATCCTGAAGGATATTGAACTCACATAAAAAAGATTCAGGATTTCCCAAGAAACAAACTCCAGTGTGATTTGTCTTTCCTACTTAAGTAAGGTAGAAAATATTCAGGAAATCTATATTATTCCTAACCTTTTCTCCTTCTGAAAAAAGAAATCTCACTGACATTTCTACGACTTCACATCTAAACCCGAGTACTTTTTCAATTCACAAAATTCCAGTGTCAACAACTGCGGATATACATTTGCAAAATTCATATATGCCTGTAAATTTAAGGGCCAATACTTATTTGAATATCTTAGAAACTACAGAAGAGGATAACAGATAGAATGAGTGTATACAATTCTGTTATTCAGAGATACCAACTGTGAACATTTAAAGACTCTTAACTATAAAGAACAAACCGATGATTATAAGAGGTGGGGGAGGGGATGGGTGAACTAGGTGATGAGGATTAAGGAGTGCACTTTTTGTGATGAGTACCAGCTGATGTATGGAAGTGTTGAGTCACTATATCATGCACCTGAAACTAATATTACACTGTATGTTAACTATACTGGAATTTATTCTTTTAAGTTTGTTTTTATTTATTTGAGAGAGATAGAGAGCAAGCAGGGGAGGTACACAAAGAGAGGGAGACAGAATCTCAAGCAGACTTTACACCATCAGCACAGAGCCTGATGTGGGGCTCAAACTCAAAACCATGAGATCATGACCTCAGCCAAAATTAAGAGTCAGACACTTAACCAACTGAGCCACCCAGACACCCCAACTATACTGGAATTTAAAGAAAAACTTTTAAAAAATTAAAAACAAAAAAAGCGCTTCTTTTCAATCTTTTTTTCTACATATAAGTGAATATTTTTAAAGTCAGTTTCAAATATGCATGTGTCCAGATGTACATTCAAATATATAAATTGCTTTGTTCTCTCCTCTAATTGTTTAACTTAGCTATGTCAGTAGCATTTGTTATTAAACATTCTTTTACAATGTAATTTAAATGTTGGCATCATATTCTATTACATGGATCACATTAGGCCTAATGGGATGGAAATGTTGGAAATTTAGGGAATTTCCACTTTTTTACTAATATAAGTAACAAACATTATGGGACTCTTAGCAGATGTTTTAGTGTGTGCCTCCAAAAGTTCCTAAAAGAGGAGCCACTGGATCAAGAAGTGTCTTGGTGCTTATGGTCTACAGAGAGTCTGCCCCCTTACTGTGACTTTCAGTTATGGAAGGGAAAAAATCCCTGTCCCCAAAGCGCTGGGTATTAGCCAAATTTTAGATCTTTAAGCAGTAAATTTTAAACAGTCAGAATTGACTCAGGTCCACCATTGTCAAGAAACCTTGCTGCCATTATTGTTAATAAGGTCTACTATTTGTGCCAACCTACAAGGTGGATACAGTGTGTTGGCAATACCTCCTAGCCCTTCCACATCTATAATAGTTTCCATAGCTCCAGACATCCTAGTTCTTTTTAGATCCAAACATTTGGCATTCCTACACTGCTTATGTTATTTTATTAAGAAAAAAGTATTGAAGAATGTTAAAAATATTGAATACTTGATATATTAACACTTCTTAGAAGAGTCAGATTTCTAAAGGCCAGACAAGAGACAATGTGCAGAAGACACACTGGAGAGGTAATGGTTTGGTTATCAGTGGTAGAGGAAAGGGTTTTCTCTCAGTCTTTCACAAGCCCTATATAATGTAGACATCATCAATTCAGCGAAAGAAGCTAGCTCTACTTGGCATGGAACCCAGAGCCAGTAACAATGAGTACAAAATGCTGCTACTGCCTTCATCTATCTCTCCATCTCTTTCTCTGACTCTTGTTTCTGTCTTGTTTTCATCCTGGATTCACTAGTCTAAGCTACCTTCCCAGAAGGATAAAATCAAATGAGCTGTCTCAAAAAAGCTGGGTTTACCCCAAAAATGATCACACAGAAAACAGCCAAGTGTGTCCATTGACAAAAAGCAGATCCAAGGAAGAAAAGTGAGCAAGGAAGCTGCCACTCATGTGCCATTTTTCAGAGGAGTTGGGAGGATACTATAATTCCTCACCCAAATATAGTCAGAGCTTCAGAGAGCCTTTGTTCTTCCTAACCGGGGTCAACCTTTTAAGTTTAATTAACTACAGAAAGGAGAGCCTATAGCCCAGGCTGCTCAGAAGCAAGGTTTGTAATCAGTTGTGAATGAGGAAGCAGAAAACATGAGAGCAGTTTCCCACTTCTTCAGCCTAATTCCCCCACTAATTATTTTCTGAAGAATTTAAAAATGCATAAAAATAATGATAAATCTATGTTACTAAGTACACTATGTATTAAAATGTAATTTGTGATACAATAACAAAAACGGGCAGAACTATATAGAAGTAGAGTTTTTGTATATAGTTAACTTTGTAGCAATTAAAATTAGGTAGTTACAACTTTAGAATGTCATATATAGTTGTCATGGTAAGCACAAAAAATATAATTAAAATATACAACCAACAAATGGGAAGGGAATCAAAACATGTCACTATAAAAATATCAACTAAACACAAAGTAAGGCAGTAATAGAGGAAGGCATTAATGAAGGAAATAAGAGATAAAAAAGCTATAAGGCATATAGAAAACATAAAACAAAATGTCAAAAATAATTCTTCTTGTATGAGTGATAACCTTAGATATCAATATATTAAACTCATTAATCAAAAGGCATAGGTTGGCAAAGGGTTAAAGACAAAACAAAAAAACATGATTAAACTATATTCTA